TGGGGTAGGGGTGGCGTTTTGATTGGCGAATATGAGAAACATGGGGGTGTCCGAAATTAGGGGTGCCTTATTGGAGGGCCATTCCACTGACGCTTGGTCTGGAATGCCGGCTGGCGGGAGGCTTCTGTCAGCGAACTCGAACCCTAAACCCTCACTCAACCCTGAACCCTAAACCTTAAACCTTAAACCCTAAACCCTAAACCCTAAACCCTAAACCCCAACTCTGGGGTTTTAGCTTCGCAGGAAGTTCCGGTCGTGGAGGAGCCCCCGGAGTGCGAGGTCCCAGAAGCCAGGTGGCTGCCAGCGTATGTAATGTTAGGGTTCAGGGTTCAGGGTTTAGGGTTTAGGGTTTCGGGTTTAGGGTTTAGGGTTTAGGGTGTAGGGTTTAGGGTTTAGGGTTTAGGGGCTGAATAACTAGAATAGGTTTTGGGGGTTGTTATCGTAGAATCACAAAGGGGCCATAAGGGAATACTATTAGTAACTCTTCCGAGCCCTAGACTACCTGATCGTTGTAGGGCGGAACTGTGAGAGATGAAGCCCAAGCAGGGCCGATAGGGCACAAATGTGGCACTTGAGACGTAAATGAACTGACAAAGGTTGTTGGCAGTCAGGCAGCCGAACAGCGATACCATGGCAATATCCTGGAGCACGCTGCTATCTTTCTCCAGAGTTGTGAGTTATACGGAGTCGTAGTGTAATCTCAAGTTATGAGAAGTCACTGCTACGCGTTTTTAACATATTGCTCGGCAGATGCCAGTTCTGCAGCTGGGACAAGAACCAATCGGGCTCGCATCGGGTGAACGTGCTCAGGGAGGCATGTGCTCAGCTAAACCCTAAACCCTAAAACCCTAAAACCCTAAGCCCTAAACCCCAAATCCCTAAACCCAAATCCCTAAACCCTAAACCCTAAATCTCTAAATCCCTAAACCCTAAACGCCTAAACCCTAAATCCCTGGATCCCTAAACCCCAAACCACCCGCAAAAAGGCATCCTCATGGTGTGGCTGTGCTAAGAAGTTCCCCAAGCGGCACATGGCACTTGGGGTAAATGATTGAAAATTAGGCCCCGCAGCTTTAGGGTTTAGGGTTTAGGGTTTAGGGTTTGGGGCATCAAGTGCCGCCCATTGTGGCCGATGATGAGCTGCCACTGCATAGTGGCTGATGCTTGGGGTGGAGCCCGCTCGCACCAAGGATCCCCGAAGGCGAGGACTCAACACCTCCGCAGGCTTGGCTGCTTGAATGCTTCAGACTGTGAGATTCTGGATTAGCATTCTGAGATAGGACTCCTCATGCTGCGCCATTGTGCCTCAAAAACACAGTCTAGCCCACAATAGCATGAAGTCCGCACATTGTGTTCATTGCAGGCAGAACCTGCTGAAGGTGAGGAAGGCCCATCTTGCTGTGTCCAGAATGAAGTGAGAAGCCATAGATGCCATAGATGCCGATTTGGTAGACCGACTTGCTTGGAAAGTCCTAAGGAAACGTAGGCAAGTGCCGTGGCTCTCCCCAAGCCATGATAGTAGTTTGGGTGACCCTGGGTAGTAGCTGTGGCAGGTCAGCCGGAGCCTTCTGTAGAAGTGCCTACCCCAGAGCGCTTCAGTGGGGCTGGCTGCCGTGACACACCTCTCACGAAGAAGTGCAGCAATTGCTGTTGTTGCAGTGTGGCATGGCTCTGTGCCGATTCGAGCGTGCTTCTGCACTTGTCTGTTGAGGGGATGCCTACAGTGCTAGATGAATGCTTGGAAAGATTCGCTTGGAGTTGCTGAGCATTCGCCGTCGCATCGGTGCTTTTCAAAGACGTTCCAAAGGCGCCTCCCCCGCCAGAGCCAGAAACGCGCCCCGTTGCGCTAAGATGTGAGGCCTTGGCTGGGTGCCGGGTGAATAGGTTGCTGTGAGATTGTCTGTTGAATGTTGCAACCCCCTATTGCCTTGTTTTGCTCACTGACCGGAACAGAAAGGACCCTGACCGATGGCCCCTGCACGAATGGAGTATCACGGGTTCTGCAGCGAGGGAAGGGCACAGACACCTTTTCATCTGGTGCATGCGGGCTTGTGCGGCCAGGACTACATCCGTCGTGTTCCAACACCCAAGTTCCAAGACTGGAAGGACATCGAAACTCAGGCGCGTGTTGATGATCAGGCTTCACCCAGGATGCTCGACTGATCCTGACCAGCCATCTAGTTCGTTCTATAGTTCTGCGGCTAAGCAGCTGTTGCAGTCTAAATTGCCGTTCCCTTGCCTGTGCCTAGTTTGCAATCACGAAGGATTGCCTCATGTGCAGGTCTTGGCTCTGAAGAACAAGCAGGGAGGCATGATCCGACCATATGTGGTGCGCCAGAGCTGGGAGGGTTCGTCAGGTTTGTAGCAGGTGCTTCGCGGTCTTTCAGCCGTGTGGTCTCAATGAGTTGGATTGTGCTGTGCTGCACCCAGGCTGCTGAGGCATAGCAGGGGACATGGATCAGTCATCATGACAGTCGGAACACACAGGATCTTGACAATGAGCGATAAGCGTAGTGGAGCTGCAGAGCAGAGAGCTGCGGATGCGTGAAACGGGCAATGCCTTTTGAGGTATGCGCCGGCATACCGTATGGCAACGGCGAGGAGTGCGCAAGCTGGCCTGTCATCTTCGGGTAAGCTTGAGTGATCAGGTCAGGCAAGCGGCTTCTGAAAAAGGATGGTTTCAGGGAATTTGCGAGCTGGGCTTGGGAAGTAGAGATCATAGTCGTGACCGCAAGTCATGGTAAGGGTGGTAGTCGTTGTAATTGAGTAACCCTAAACCCTAAACCCTAAACCCTAAACCCTAAACCCTAAACCCTAAACCCTAAACCCTAAACCCTAAACCCTAAACCCTAAACCCTAAACCCTAAACCCTAAACCCTAAACCCTAAACCCTACACCCAAAACCCTAAACCCTAAACCCTAAACCCTAAACCCTAAACCCTAAACCCTAAACCCTAAACCCTAAACCCTAAACCCTAAACCCTAAACCCTAAACCCTAAACCCTAAACCCTAAACCCTAAACCCTAAACCCTAACCTAAACCCTAAACCCTAAACCCTAAACCCTAAACCCTAAACCCTAAACCCTAAACCCTAAACCCTAAACCCTAAACCCTAAACCCTAACCCTAAACCCTAAACCCTAAACCCTGAGTAGCATCTCTCGCAGGATGCCTTCCTTGGCCTCTTCAAGGCTGCGTGGCAGCGCTGCGCCAAGTTGCACAGAGTTGGCTGAGAGACTCCACGGACATCTCTCTTAGGGTTTAAGGTTTAGGGTTCAGGGTTTAGGGTAGCACCACTGTCATATGGGGGTAGGGGTACCCCTTTTTGAGGTCCCTTTACGGGGATTCCATTCTATTTGAAGTATGAAAGGGGTACCCATAGGTGCTACTGTGGCTACATGGCGAATATTCATGTGATTCTGGCTACTACTATGCATGCTGGTATATGCTGGTCATTGCTGTTACTATTTTTCTTACTACTACTGTTCCTACAAAAACAACTCTTCCACTATTCTGACCATTCCTAAGCTACTCTATTCCGACTATTGCAATCATTACTACTACTGCTACTTTCCCACTGTAAGTACACGATCCTTACTTTTAACGACTACTACACCTAGCAAATTCAAGCGCTCGGAGACCCGAAGATCCAAGGACGCGGTCCACCCTTCGGATCATCGGTGAGGGCAAGAACTTCATCCCGTGCCTTAGCCTGTTCTTCATGGTAGTGGCTGGCGCCCTATGGAGCTTTCCATGTGGGACCCACGTAATATGGGGGTCGGAAGACGTACGAATATCCCCTTATGGTCTCTTCATAAGTATAGTATAACACCCCCCAAAGCCTCATTCTAATTATTCAGGCCCCTATAGTTTGTGCCGTTCCCTTGAAACACCTGGAGAGTGAAATGGGCGTCATGGCCCCTAAGCAGGATGGTCCACGCGCGAGACGTTGCTCGCTTGACCCGCCACGTCATACAGGCGCAGAAGTGAATGCGCAGCTTTAAATGAGTGTTTGAGTCTTTTCGTCGTTTGTAATTGGGCATCCAATCCCGATCAATGCGCTATCCTTCTGCGGTTTTACCTTCCGGTGAGTTGTTGTGTCAATGCTGAACAGCCAGTTTTTGTTACAAGGCCGAGTTGTGAAAGAAGATCTGTTTAGTGGCAATCAGAGACTAGCAGGGGGGGAGGGGGGGGGAGGTTCACAAAGAGAGTTGTCAATCCATGGGCCGTGCCTCAAAAACTGCAGCTAAATTGTTTTTTTTTTCCATACCGGCGCGGTTTTTCAGCATCTCGGAGTCGTGGACCAACACCAAAGCACCTCGGCAGTTGCCTCGAAGAGAAGCTCAGAGCTGGGGCAAGTCGCTACCGGTTTCTGTGCTTGGTGTGCTTTATTATTAATATTAAAATATTAGTATTATTATTATTATTTTTTCTTTCCTACTGGCCTCAAACCGTTGCCTTAGCTTCAGGCTGTGGCCTTGGTTGATTGCAGGCGTCGCTCGACGCACCCGGACATCCGAGAAATAGCACGTCCCATGATGTGCAAAAAACCGACCCTGTAAACGGTTAAAGCCACTTTCCAAGCTTCATCCTTTACAAGATCTTCCCTTTCCGGCAAGAGTGTTGCACCCTGTTTTAGATCGAGTGTCGTGAGGTTGCAATCAGTAGGTTTATTTGGGAGGGAATGTTTTCGAATGCTTCTTACAAGTTGTTGGGATGTCGAGCGCGGCAAGCACCATCGGCTTTTTTTTTTGCTTTTCTCGACACATCCGGAGGCCCTAAACCCCAAGCCCTAAAGTCCCTAAAGCCACCCTTGGCTCGAGTACAGGCTCGCCCAGAGCTCGACTACCATCTGGCAGTGGACAGCTGCCTGACAGCAAGAGGTTGCCCGAGATGTTGAGGTTCAGCGCAGAGATCTGGGAATCGAGCTCGGGCTCCCTCGATAGACATTGCGGTGCTTCACTTATCCTTGGAAGGTCCGTCTGCTTTTCATGCGGACGATGGGTAGATGCTGTAGTCCGGCACAGAACTCTCCTTGCGTCCTCAAGGTCGCCCCACAACCACTTGCTGACACCGAGGAGGCGACGTGACACAGAGATCCTTGATCCAGACAGTCGCCAAACAGCTGGGAGCCTGAGCCGTTTAGTAGACTACCTCAAGTCTGAAGTTGGGATGTTCAGGCATACCAAGATCATCCTTAAGTGGGGGACCCCAAATATACACCCCCAAGTCTGGGATTCCCACCAAAAAGGTACCCCAAATTCTCTTAAACCCCCAAGTCAGGAACCCTTCCTTCGGGATGTTGGTTCTGAGGCATTCCATTAAAACCCAAAGAGGCCCAGAACGACCCCTTTGGTCGAGGTTCGACGTGCCGTACGAGCCGGGGAATGTCACCGTAGCCGAGGCATCCGGCTTTGGGCGAAGCTGTTGCTTCGTGCGAGGATTGGGCTGCAGGGTTTAGGGGAGTTTAGGGTGATCTAGGAGGGTTTGGGGGGGGGGGGGGGGGGTGGGGTTTGGGGTTTAGGGGGGTTTTGGCAGGGTTTAGGGGGGTGGGGGGGAGTTTATGGGGAGTTCAGGGAGAGTTTAGGGGAGTTTCCGATCTGGGAAGTCGCTGAAGTTGTAGGCTGTGTTGGCGGAGATGGCAGATATCCTGACCATGAACATCCGCCCAAGCCCGAGCTCTCGTGGGAGCTGGGGCTCGCCAACGAAGGGGTTTAGGGTTTAGGGTTTAGGGTTGAGGGTTTAGGGTTAGGGTTTAGGGTTTTAAGTTTATTGTTAAGGGTTTAGGGAAAGTTTAGGGTTTGGGAGTTAATGTTGCACCTGCTTTGGTGTTGCCCCCCCCCCCCCCCCCCCTCAGAAAGTCAGTCGAAGCTGATGTTCGCTCTGTTCACACGGCCCATGGGTTTATCTGTCTTTAATTTAGGGTTTAGGGTTTAGGGTTTAGGGTTTAGGGTTTAGGGTAATAGGGAGGAATTTATAGAAGGTGAAAAGGCTCAGAGATGCCCGGCAATGGATTTTGAAGGCGCGCCGCGCGGAATTTTCTTACGACACCCGGACGATTTGCCCCAGAAGCGGTCCCACTCTGCACCCCCCAAAAAGTCAGGGTGTCCTGAATATCCCAGCCAAACCGGGGGCCCCCACGAATCCAGGTCCAACATTAAGGGTTTAGGGTTTACGGTTTAGGGTTTAGGGTTTAGGGTTGAGGACCCCCGGGCCGCACAGCTAGTCCGCCGCTAGTCCACGGCAACGCTCGCGCCTCCCAACCATCAACCCCCCAAATCTTCGAGTGCCTGAGGTCATAAACACCGGTTTAGGGTTTAGGATTTACGGTTTAGGGTTTAGGGTTCAAAGTTCATCAGGCAACTTTGTGAAACAGATCACTCGATCCTTCTCCGATAGACCATCAACCTCCCTACTGTGTGCTTCAGGTTTGGAACCCAGCCCCCTGATGGAGGCGCCGACAGCGGGAAAGCTGAAGGGTCCCAGTGTACCTGCACGTGGATTGAGACTTTCTGGACTTTAAGAGTCCAGAGGCTGCTTTGTTCACGATGTCGGGGTTGAGGGCTGTGGTATCCACTTGCTCAAGGGTTCTGATCCTTGCAGCAACTCCAGCCAGCCACCCGCACCGGCACCCCAAACCTCCTAAATTTGGCGGATTTTCTGAGGCTCTGGTGATGCCAATCCTTGAAAACTGCCTGCGTGCTGCTTTGCGAGGTGCCATGGGAGCCCCCGCCGCCCGAGCCCGAAGCGCGGCAAGAGGCGGAGGAGGAGAAGCACGAGGAGGAAGAGGTGCTGTTGTCATAGGGGTATTTCCAAAAAACCAGGGCGTACCCTTAAATATACCCCCCCAAAATAGGATAATCCTCATTCTAGGAGCCCCCAAAGAGTGGCCCCGATTCGGAACCCCCCCCATAGAGTCGTAGAGTGGTGAGTGCACAGGCATCATCCCTGGGTGCGGCAGTTTGCCAATGGCCAGTTCCATGAAGTTACTCCAAACCTTGGTAGCTCAGTGGTACCCTTTTCCCTTCTTTTGGCTCAAGGTTCCCTCATTGAGTATCCAACCCAAAAAAAAGGGTGCCCTTGTTTTGATATGGTTACCGGGCTACCAAGAAACTCTAACCCTGAACCCTAAACCCTAAACCCTAAACCCTTATAAGCCTTCAAGGGCCTCAAGCACCTTAAGGACGGCAACTTGTAGCCAGCCCGCAAGGCTCCGAAGCCGTCGACGTCCACCGCCTCCCTGTTGCCACCTGCAGCCGAGGCCATGACTTAGGGTTTAGGGTTTAGGGGTTTAGGGTTTAGGGTTTAGGGCTTTGGGATATGTTGCATTGTTGCAAAGTTTTGGGTTCAAGAAGGATCATATTTAGGCATCATCTTCAGAGGCCGTTAGGGGCCAACCTACCCCTGGGATCCTTACATCTGCTACTTGCCCCAAAGATCTTAACTCCCAGGGCCTCCGGCACCGGATCGCCAGGTCGGTTTTGAAAATTGGGGGTGTCAGAAATTAAGGAGGGTTTAGGGTTTAGGGGTTAGGGTTAGGGTTATAGGGGAATCCTACAATTTGGGGGTCGACATGAGGGGTCCCTGATTTTCGTAAACCCTCACATGGTTCCTTAGACGAAACTCCTTGATTTTTTTCGGGCCCATTGACGCAAGAGCTACACGAAGTTCAGAGTGACCAGCGCAGGGCAAGAGCAAGGGCAAGAAGGACCGCCCGACCTCTGCGACATCTCAGCCGCCGCCGACAGAGGCTGGACTCGGGGGGTGGGCGGTCCTCTGTGAGAATTACGATGGTCCCCATATAATTCTACGAAAATCACCACCAAAACCCTATTCTAAGCATTGAGGCCCCTATACTCGACACAGTGCAGCATCCTGCAAGAGAGTCGCGTGGCTGGCGGCCGGAAGGGCGTTTCCCGGTCTGCGGCAAGTGAGTTCTTTCATGTCAAGCTAGGAGCCTGCGGGCTCAGATTCTTGATTAGGGGGCTTTTCTGCTTGGGGCCTGCAAAACTCTGCCAGTTCAGGATTTCAGGGCTCAGATGTTACTGATTGGGGGCCAAGCTCTGCAAGCCAAGGAATCTGAGGGCTCAGATTCTTAATTGGGGGATTTTCTGGTGCTTGCCTGTATAGAAACCCTACAAGTTCAGAATCCAGACTCTTAGAGAGGAGGTTTCCTGATGGTGACCTGCTATTGGAGCCTGCCTGCATAAGTAAGCCCTGCGAGTTAAGAATCTGAGGGCCCAGATTCCCTAAGCCCTAAACCCCAAACCCCAAACCCTAAACCCTAAACCCTAAACTGATGGCCTTCTTGATCTTGATTGGAGCCCACTGGTTGCATGGTTCGGGATCTTTTCTCCTTCTTCTCAACCCTAAATCCGAAACCCGAAACCCTAAACCCTAAACTGATGGCCTTCTTGATCTTGATTGGAGCCCACTGGTCGCATGGTTCGGGATCTTTTCTCCTTCTTCTCAACCCTAAACCCGAAACCCTAAACCCTAAACCCTACACCCTAGACCTGCTTGTGTGAGGGCTTCACAAGCAAAGAATCTGAGGTCTCACATTCTTAGCTATCTTTTCTTCTTCTCAGTTGGGGCCTGGTTGCTAAGAATCTGAGGGCTCAGTTTCTTATTTGTGGGAGGAAATTGTCTGATTCGGGCGTGCTTGTTCAAAGCTTACAAGCTAAGCATCTGAGGGCTCAGATTCTTAGTTTGGGATTTTATCAGGCTTCCTGCTCGCAGAAACAACTGAGTTAAGAATGCGCCTCAAATTCTTAAGTCGAGACACCCAGACACGGGCGGAAAACAAACCCAACAAGCGCAGGAAATTTCAGCCCTCTGGTCCGTAAGGCATCTTTCAGCCAATGCTCCCGCTGTCGTGCGCAAATTCACAAACCACACCCTAAACCCTAAACCCTGAACCCTAAACCCTCAACCCTAAACCCTAAACCCGAAGCCCTAAACACTCCAAGCATCTGAGCTGTCCATCCGGCCCCCCCTGCAGGTGGAAGTTGAAGAGGCGGCGCCTGCAGCGGAAGAGAAAGGCGAGATGGGATGAGATGGGAGGAGATCCGAAACTAGGAAGGCTAGGGGTTTAGGGTTTAGGCTTAGGGTTTAGGGTTTAGGGTGCAGGGTGTAGGGTTTAGGGTTTCGGGTTTCGGCCCCCTTGGGATAAGTTTTGTACTTCTCCGTTGTTGGGTTTAATAGCCTCCTATTTAGGAATATTTTTCGGAGGGTTGCAGGGGCCAACCTAGGAAAAGGGGCTGCAATGTGCTGCATGTGGCTTGCACTTCGCGCCCGCCCACTGGCCTGCAGATGCCTCGGGTGGGCCCTGACATGAGTAGGGTTAAGGGTTTAGGGTTTAGGGTTAGGGTTTAAGGTTTAGGGTTTAGGGTTTAGGGCTTAGGGCTTAGGGTTTAGGGTTTGGGGTCCCCTCCCAAGCAGCCTTTGCTACAGGCAACGAGGAGACCCTGCCTGGGTTCCGCTGGTGGCGCGGACCTTGGACTTTGGGGCCGCAGTACTTCGAATGCACGGGGCTTCAAGTTGCCACGGTCACTTCTCTAAATGGGGGTCCCTTTTGGGGCTACGATTCTACTGATTCAGCATTCAGGGTACCCAAAACAGGAGCCAAAATTGCAAGAGCTCTCGGCAGCCGGGCCGGTGGAGTTCCAGACCAGGTGAAAGGGGGGGGGGGCGGTGGGGGGATGTGGGGGGGCTGGGGGGTCTTTTGGCAAAAACTTCCAGAGGCAGAAGTTTTGGGCGTGATCTCTGCGGGATGGGGTGAACCGCAGCAGTTTCTGCGTGGGAAGGGTTGAAGGGGGGAAGGAGACGAGATCCTGGACACGCTTGTTCCAGCCGTTGGCCGGAAGCCGAGGGCGAATTTTGAGAAGCTGACCCACATGTTCTGAGGTGTGAGACAGGCATTGTGGCCAACATCGATCAGGTGCTGGTATTTGATGTCAGTGGAGTTTCGTGCACCCAGTCTGATGACTAGTGACGAGAAGGGAACTGAAGGCATATTAGATGTTTCCAGTGACATACCTCCACGAAGGTAAGCTCAATGAAGTCCCCCCCAAACTGTTGATTTTTTGGTGCTTCTTGGGGCCTCGGGGGAGAGGTGGCCATGGAGTTTGTGCGATGGCGCCAACTCATGCCCGTCAAGATCTGTGTTGCCTGGGGCCTGGCTTGTATTGCTAGTGTGGTTCCTAGACCGGTCTCCCACGAGAGTCACTCAATGGTCAAACCTCACATCCACGGCATTGCGGTTTACTGAATCAGCCCCCGTGTGAAACCAGAATCATCGGTGCCATGCTACCAAATTGAAATCTCGAACCCTGACGTAGGTGCAGCCTCAGTATTTTGTCACGCTCGCCTTGCATAACGACGACAGCCAGATGGTAGAAGGCGAGTACGCCCCTCTGCCCGCCTCACTTGCGCCATGGATGCGCACAGCGATGAGGAGCATCTGGAATACCTGATCTGCGTGAACAGGACCTTTCAGCATGTGGCCGTTCATTTACCCGGAAATAGAGCTTAGGGTTTAGGGGCTTAGGGTTCAGGAGTTCAGGGGTTTAGGGGGTTTGGGGGTTGAGGGGTTGAGGGGTTGAGGGGTTGAGGGGTTTTGGGGTTTTGGGGGTTCTGGGGTTTAGGGGTTCAGGCTCTAGGGTTCAGGGCTCACAAAACAGCTGCTGCAAATTGCATGTCAATCTTGGAAGGATGCGAAAACCCGTAAGCCTGAAGCCTAAAACCCTGATTTCTGAAGCCCCCAAAGAAGCAGATCGCAAAAACGCAAACGCCCCATCCTCAGCCCTTCCTAAACCCTAAACCCTAAACCCTAAACCCTAAACCCTAAACCCTAAACCCTAAACCCTAAACCCTAAACCCTAAACCCTAAACCCTAAACCCTAAACCCTAAACCCTAAACCCTAAACCCTAAACCCTAACCCCTAAACCCTAAACCTTAAACCCTAAACCCTAAACCCTAAGCCCTAACCCTAAGCCCTAAACCCTGAACCCTAAACCCTTGCCATCAACGGTCTAAACGCGACAGGGCGGGCGGGGCCAAACTGGGGATCGACGTCGATCCAGGCCCTGACAGAGCAGCCGTGTCTGTGTTTGTTGTTTTGGGGTTGGGTTTAGGGTTTAGGGTTTAGGGTTTAGGGTTTAGGGTTTAGGGTTGAGGGTTGAGGGTTTAGGGCTTAGGGTGGAGGGCTTTAGGGTGTAGGGTTTTGGGTTCAGGGCTTAGGGGGCAGGGTTTAGGGTTTAGGGTTAGGGTTTAGGGTTTCGGGTAGAGAGTTGACGGGTATGGAGTTTCGGGTTGAGGTTTCGAGCTAATCGGCATGCCGGGTACAGTGACCTTTGATGATCAGCAGCAGTGCTTGTTGGAATTTGTGTACTCTGCATAATTTAGCCTAAGAGCTGAAAGAAGAAGTCTAAACCCTAAACCCTAAACCCTAAACCCTAAACCCTAAACCCTAAACCCTAAACCCCAAACCCTAAACCCTACACCCTCTGTCTGAGCCCTACAGTAGAAGCCCTTGAAGGCCTGTACACCCTATAAGCGTCCTTAGTGGGATTATCGTAGCCGCTCTTATCATCCCTATTAAGGACTGTTAGTATAAGCGGCAACATCCCAACCCTGAACCCTAAGCCCTAAGCCCTAAACCCTAAACCCTAAACCCTAAACCCTAAACCCTAAACCCTAAACCCTAAACCCTAAACCCTGAATCTCAAGGCGAGGATGGCAGCCGCCTTTCGGTGGTCGCTGTCCGAGACGGCCTCGTGAAGTCCTGGAGTCTTTGGCCGCAAAGGGCTTTAAGAGGCACTCCTCTTTCAGTAGTTTAGGGAGGGTTTAGGGTTGGTTTAGGCTGTAGGGTTTAGGGTTACATCTCAGAGCCTCATGGAAGACACGACCTTCAGAATCTAAGGAACCTGCTGCACCCAGACAGAGAGGTGGCGGGTTTGCGAGAGTCGGCGCGCTGCACCCATCCGACCCCTAAACCACAAACCCAGAGCTCTAGATGAGCAAGCATCAGTGGGCTACATGTAGAAGAGGGGGCAGTGGCACTTAGCAGGTTTGCAGAGAGCCAAACCCCAAACGCTCAAATAAACCCTAAACCCTAAACCCTAAACCCTAAACCCTAAACCCTAAACCCTAAACCCTAAACCCTAAACCCTAAACCCTAAACCCTAAACCCTAAACCCTAAACCCTAAACCCTGAAACCCTGAAACCCCTACACCCTAAACCCTAAACCCTACCAGGTGCATGCGGGCCACTGCATCACAGAGGTCAACGGCTTCCGCGGCGCAGCGGAGGAGCTGAAGGCAGGGCTTCTCGTTGCAACGCAGGGTTTAGGGTTTTGGGGTTTGGGGTTTAGGGTTTAGGGTTTAGGTTTAGGCTTTAGGCTTTAGGGTCTAGGCTTTGGGCTTTAGGGCTTCAGGCTCTCAAAGCTGCGGTTGAGGGATGTCGCTAGGTTTTCAGGACAGCCTGGGGTGTAGGGCCGGGAGTTTAGAGTGTAGAGCTTCGAGAGGGTGCCCTTGACAACCCTAAACCCTAAACCGTAAACCCTAAACCCTAAACCCTAAACCCTGAACCCTAAACCCTAAACCATGAGAGGCTGCTTGAGACAGGGGGGATAAGGTACAATGTGCAATACCTTAAGGGGGTATATAGGGGATACATGGTACCTTATTCCCCCCATTCCCTACTAAAAAAGTGTAACGCAGCACCCCTAAACCCTAAACCCTAAACCCTAAACTCTAAACCCTAAACCCTAAACCCTAAACCCTAAACCCTAAACCCTGCTAACCTGCATCTGCTGGGCCTGCAGGCAGCCTGCCGTGAGGAAGGGGAACTTCAGATACGCCTGCGCCGGAATGAAGACCAGGCCTCGGCATCGAACTGCCTTTTCTTTCAGGGTTTAGGTTTAGGGTTTAGGGTTATAGGGTTAAGGGTTAAGGGTTTAGGGTTTAGGGTTTAGGGTTTGGGGTTTAGGGTTTAGGGTTTTCCAGCATGTGCTCTAGCGCTCCTCGTGGCACATGCGGCCCAGAAGTGCGGCGCAAACATCTTGGCACGTCAGGTGGGCCAGTGGTGGCCCCAACCGTTGGCGGCTTCCGATTTCAAGGCCAGGCAGTCATGGCCTGGAGTTTAGGGTTTAGGGTTTAGGGTTTGGGGTTAGGGTTTAGGGTTTAGGGTTGTTGGAACCCTAGATTCCTCAACATTTATCTCCTACTTGCAGAAATGGGGGTCACCCCCAGGGTCCCCCTTAATATACCCGCAAGTAGTAGTAATCCTTCTTATCGCAACCCCCCAAACTTCTGGAAACGCGAGGTTTAGGGTTTAGGGTTTAGGGTTTAGGGTTTTGGGTGCAAGGCTGAGCCTTCTTGCGCTTCCGGCGCCTCGGCGCGGAGGCGCGCGGACAAGCGCATCGTGCAGCTGCCGGAGAGCAGCTGGATGTGACTTGGTCTGAAGTCTGAGTCAGGGGCCTTTTGGGGGGCCAGAGGGTGCTCCATTTGCTCCCTGAAAGGGTATATGCATATACAAAAAATATATATACATATATATCTATATATGTGTATATATATATATATAGGGCCCTCATTGCCTCATTCCCTACTAAGAACCCGGGGGGTTTGTGTTCTGAAACGTCTTCTTTCTGCACCTCATGTACGCAGCTGAGCCCAACGCTGAGGCGTGTCGGTTGGTTTCTCTACACCAACGAGCTGCTGAGCAAAGTGGCGCTGCTTGCCCAAACTTGAATTTACGCGCCACGTCGCAGCGAACTCTACTTGCTCTGGTGGTGTGATAAGTGCGCAGCAGCGCTTAGAACTATTCCTCAACCAAGAGCTACCCCAAGAGTCCCCACTGTCGTTTGCCCTTGCTGTGGAGTGAGGACGCTGAGCAGCAACTTCGCCGCGCTGCTAGGGGACGGGCATCTTTGTGCCCTGATGCTTGGCCCCCCACTTCCCCCGACATCCGCACCACTGCCTGAAGGATGAACGCAGCTGGCAGACGCTTGCGCTTCGGGAGGCGCTTGGGCCCCCTGACACCTGTGAGAGCACCTTTGTTATTCGTTTTTTGAGAGATCCGCACGCGCCTCATCTCGCCTGAAAGCTGCAAGGGCGCGGGCGCCGCCTCGGAGAAGCTCCTGAAACTGAGTCTCGGGCTGGGCCCTAAACCCTCCTAGACCTTAAACCCTAAACCCTAAACCCTAAACCCTAAACCCTAAACCCTAAACCCTAAACCCTAAACCCTAAACCCTAAACCCTGCTGGGAGGTGTGGATTATTGGATTCTGGTCTTCCAGGTGACCGTTTCTCATCGGACCCTAACAGCCATGGCCTCGCTGAACCTTAAACCCCAACCCCCAGACCCCTTAAACCTAAACCCTAAGCCCTAAACCCTAAACCCAAACCCTAAACCCTAAACCTTAAACCCTAAGCCCAGTTCTTGCAAGCGATGCGTTTGGTCAAGCCAAGGATGCTAGTGGAGGAGCAGGATGTCTGACTTCTGACTCCTCTCTCTCTCTCTCCTTTCAAGGCTTCTATAGGGTACCCTTTAAGGGCTTAGGGTTTAGGGTTTAGATCTCCTTTTTGGGTCAGGCGAGTTCTGTGGTTCCTGAACCGCGAAGAGCTTGTACTTCACTAGGATCCCTCGAGGCTCTCACTCCATAAACCCTCAACCCTCAACCCTACAGAAGTTAAGCCCCAAACCCCAAACCCCAAACCCCAAACCCTAAACCCCAAACCCCAAACCCTAAACCCCAAACCCTAATCCCTAGACCCTAAACCCTAAACCCTAAACCCCAAACCCTAAACCCTAAACCCTAAACCCAAACCCCGAAATCCTAAGCCCTTCATGGTTCCCGCAGGAGCTCTGGAACTGGCCACTGTGTCAGGCCCGGCAGATTCGAGACAAGCTGGCTTGCCACAACGATGGTGTATGGGGAATATTCAAGTTTTGGTGCTTGGGGGGGGGGGGGGGGGAGGTTTAGG